CCTGACAGCCCCAGAAACGCCCCCTCGCCAGCAGTGCCCCCATGTCCTGGGCAAACAGGTGGCCCCGCTTGTTATACCACCTGTGTGCATTCGTGGTCCTGGGCCCTGCAGCAATGCTACCCATGATCCCACGTTAGGAACAGGCCGTGGGGCACCGGGACAGGCTGGTGGGAGTGGGGCAGGAGATAACAGTGCCCTCTCCTGGTTGGGCTGAATATGTGCTAAACTCCAACTTGCATTTTATGAAACCGCTGAGTCTGACCCAGGCACATTCCAGCCCTGGGGCTGAGGGGAGGGCATGGAAGAGTAAGGGCCTCTCCAGGCTCCTCGCTCTGAGCACTGCTCCAGGGAGCTGCCCCCATTCTCCAGAGGACACATTAGCTAGGTTTCTAGTTCCCTTCAAGCCCAGAGTGCTCTGTGACACCTCTCCTCAACATCTGCCCTGGTGAAATGAGAGTCAACAGACCGGCAAGATTTCAGCTGCATGTCCTCTAGTGGAAGGAACTTACCATTTAACCACCCAGTTTGGGAAAGGAGCACCCTGGACTCAACAGTCCATCTATACCATTTCTATGCCCTTTTTATGATAGTATAAATCTGTTTCCCTTTCTATGTGCCATCATCTTATTGTCCATAAGTTAGAAACATAGAGAGTAATCAGCACAATCATGTAAACACAGACCGTGAACAGAAGCCAAGACACCGGCGAGCTCCCACCACCTGCCCCCACGCCCTGCGCTTCCCAGACGCCACCTTTCCTGGCACGGCCCGTTGGGTCGTTTGGGGGCCTACTTTTCTTCCTCTGAAACTTTCAAATGAATTCGACCCAGAGAGTGGTCAAGTCCTGAGCCGGAGAAAACTACTAAACCCCATAGCTGACAACGAAACTCAACACTTGGGCTGAAATGCCATGCGGTCCTGGGTTTCCCGAAAACCCGTCTTTGAGAAGAACAAAATATATTATGTTCATTAAAAAAATCTCCCTCTCGGGAGGGAAATGCACTGGACTATGATGATGGCACATGGGTGATCTGATGATGGGAAACCCAAGGGGATTGCAACTGAGATGGGAAAATGCACAAAAATATGTAAAAAATAAACTATTATAAAATTAAAAAAAAATAAAACTCCCTCTGGAAGGAAATGTCAAGCGCATGTTCCCACGCTGGAATGGCCCGCTCGCTAGCAGCAGGCTGCTTGCATAACGCGTCGCTGCAGCACAGAAACGAGGCAGCTGGGCTTGCCGGGACTGAGGGCCGGGACCGGCCCGACGCTGGCCTCGGCGGCGTCCGTCTTCGCGGTGTTGGGAGCTACCGCGTGGGGGCGCTGGGCACGCGGACAGGCGCTTGGGGTCAGAAAGCTCCGCCGCGGATGCCACGTAAATGTGCTGCCATGGCAACCGGCCAGGGGATGTTTGCGCATGCGTGTGCTTCTGCCGCAGGCGCCTACCTGGCCGGGGGCGGTAGACTCGCTGTGAGCGGCGCCGTTTACGAGCATGTCGTGGAAATAAGCACTCCACAGTCAAGCCTGATCGCTTCACTGCGCCGACAGCACTGTCACCGCCAAGGCGCATGCCCCACTGCAGCTCCAGAGCATCTATGTTAGCCAGAGTGGTAACCTACTGCTCTCCGTGAGCATACCCTGTGGTAGGAGGGGAGAAGACTTAACCCCTTACAACAAAGGCTTAAAACCCTTGGGTGAAAAGATACCAAAGACCTGCCACCGGTAACTGTTGAGCTGGCTGTTGTTAAACTGTGACAACCATCCGTCCTGGCGAAGGTTGGTGGCATACTTCCGCTCCGTGCCTGTGGGTGGGCTGGAAGCCTGCTTCTCTAGGTTTGGGGGGTCTCTCCACCTCCTCTGGCACCAGAAGGCGAGGCGGAGAATGGTCCCAGGATGAGGCCGCGTGCAGAGACCGAGCCCAACCGCACATTTCAAGACACCACTGTGTCACACCCCTGGCCAAAGCAACACACAAGGCCAAGCCCGCCTGCAAGGGCGGGCACACACCATGTACGCACACACCACGTACCGGGGCACTCACCACAAACCGTGAGACCAAAGCAGGTCACCTCGCCTGGCCCAGCATCGATGGAGCAGGGGATGCAGGGGAAGACGCCCTTGCCGCCAGGCAGGGGTCCCCTCTACCACAAACAGACGCCATCTAGGCCACCAAAGGCTCGTGGAAGCACCAAGCCCCACTCTGAGCACTGAGCCTGTTCACACCGACCACCTAGCGGATTAACTCTGGGGCAGGAAGAAACACCCTCAAATGTCTGCAGCACCATGAGACACGCGCGCAAACTGTGCTTACTGAGACAGCGGCGGCTTCTTGGCCTGGCCGGGAGCTGTGGGCCAGCCGCGCAGCTCTGCTCCCAGCTGCAGCTCTCGTCCTGAGCCCCGCACTGAAGGAGCCGCCCGCAGGCGGAGAGAGCAAGAGGCTGTCAGCAACATGAGACGCTGCTCACAGCTTCTGCCCTGAACTGGCACTGCCACTGCTGTTCCCTGGGCTGTCCAGGGGCACGGCCATGCCTGACTGGCCGGGAATGCCCATGGCACGGTGGAGAGGCTGCCCAGCCCACAGCCCTGGTAGGTGTGTGATCTTCACTGGAGAGGAGGGGACAGTCAGTGTATGACAGGTGGCACCACTCGACACAGAGGAAGGTCACTAAGAAACAGCCCTTCTTCCCTGACCGACAGGCCCCCCACCTCCCCCTACCCCCCCATCAAAGGCTGAGCCATCTCTGCTGCAGGCCTTGTCTACTTGGACCAGCACTTGTCTGGTCTGACCAGCACACACATGCAGCTTTGGGGACTAGGCCCAGGATGGCCAGCAGGCAGATACCGTGTCACCACATCCCCAGACCTCTCAGTGCATCGTCCAACCCACACACAGTTCCATCCGGGCGGTCAGCCACAGGTCTGGGGGCCCTGGGATCTCCTCCAGAGAGCAGGGTGACAAACGGCCCTGTGACGTGTGGGGTGACCATGCATTCAAGGCCACCCTCACACTGACAGGGGCAACAGTCCCCAACATGAAGAGGCTGATAAAGGCCGCGCCTGTGGTTCTGCAAAAGCTGCAGCAGGAGTGTGAGGAAGCGCCTCTCGACTGGCCTATGTTGCTGAGCACCATAAAGAGGGGTTTTGCACGTTGTTCTACTGTGTGCGAGCGTCAGCATCTCTGAAGCAGAAAGTACCGTGTGGCCTGTAATGTGGCCAGATTCCGCGATTATCCAGGCTTTTAAATGGAAATGCTAATTGCTCCTCTTTCTGAAGAATCGGCTTCTCTTTGAAGCTGTATAGTATGAAAAGGCAGGAGATGGATGGGTTCAGGCTGAAGCTGTGGTTTCAAAAATGAAAGCACCTCTGGAAGTGGGCGGTCCAGGAGTGGACCACCAGGATGAGCCAGCGTCATGGTGCCAAAGACCAAGGAAGAGTCCAGAAGCCCTGGAGATGTGGCAGAGGGACTCAGGACCAATGGAGATGAGCTTCATCTGCCCAAAGATGGGCAACCTGAGTGTCAATGAGGATAAGGACGGGGACTGAAACAGTGTACACCAGGCCCACAAGGCTGTAAAACCCCACAACGCACAGGCATTGGTCACCTGGGGAAGGGACCCATTCTTTGAAAAGAAAGAAAGATGCATGTGTCCTGTCTTGCTGTAGGAACTGCAGCTCAGAGTAACCAGACAGCTGATCTTCATATCAGCATTCCAGGAACAAGGGAAGAAGTCACGGTAGGTGAGAACATCGTCACTTTGCAGCCTCTGATGGCTCCGTGGTGGCGGGTTATGCTGTCAGGGGTCGCAAACAGCATGGAAGAGATGGCCGAGGACGGCCAGGCAGGCAGACGCCAGGCAGCGTGAAAAGGGGACAGACTAAGCCATCTACGCCGTCTCAGCAGCGGTAACAAGCCTGAACCTGACGAAGCTCTAGATCTACCCACGTGCAGCGGAGACCAGAGCCAGAGGGGCCGGCTAAAGGACAAAGAGTAGCCAACACTCTGTAGACTGCAGAAAACTACAGGGAAACACAGCAGATCTTCACCCTTAACATCGCAAGAAGAAGGAGAGCCAAGCATGACTGAAGAATGCAGGAGAGGCCTCTCAGCCCCCAGCACACAAGTGTCACTAGGAGCCAAATGCCAATAAGGCAGCAAGAGCTGAGAAGACAGTTGGGAAAGAGGAAGGCAGGACTTGGGGTGCTCAGAGCCGCACGGGGAGCCACGGTCTCTCTCCGTGGTTAGAACAGACCGGCATCTCTTTACCACCTATGTGTGACAGAAAGCTCGTCTTCAGCCCCCACTGCCCCAGCAGACCGGGGCAGCCTTCGTGAGCATGGGGCTGCTGCTCGCGCCTACTGCAGGAGTGAAGGAGGAAGACAGACACCCCAAAGATATGACCCCCTTCTGGGGGACGGGAAGCTCACAAGGGAGCCAAGGAAACATTGGCTTAAGATACTTATGTTAAAGTCTTTCTCAAGAGTGTTTCTTCTGAAATAAACCGAATGCTACAAAAAAAAAGTCAGCAACCTAAGTTTCTCCAGGGCGAATGGCAAAGGTTTGGCTCTCCCCAGAATGGTCCCTGGCATGCGTCCTGACCATCCTCCTGTTATTCTGCATTTCTTTCATCTCGGCAGCGAGAGCACTGCCATCTATTCCTTTATAGGTTCTTCTCAAAGTATTCAAAGTTTGCATCAAATACACAGGTATGCCTTCAGCCACCTGTCAAATCTTTCAAAGGGTAAAGAATGAGATTTTACAGTTTTTTGTGAAATCAAGATGAATTACTAAATCTCAGGGGACCCAAGTGCGGCTATTACGCCGTGACAGCAAGTATTGTCTGCTTTAATATGCCTTTTGTGTCTTCCCCAGGCTCCCCCCCCCCTTTTAAAAATCCAGGCTAGCAGTGCTGAACTCACATATTTAATAATATGTGCTTCGATGACAGCTGAGTTCATCCACCTGAACGGTATTTAGGAGGTAGAAGAGATCAGCGTACCTCGGAATACGTTGGCGAGAGGTATTTCCCGTTGCACTTGGCAATGCGCCTCAGAATCTGCAGGGCTTTATCCCCTTTCTTCTGAGTAATCAGCCAGCGAGGAGATTCAGGAACTGCCCTGGCGATGAAAGTCTGTGTGAGTGATGCCTAGGATCCTCACACCTAAGAGTCAGAGTACGTCTTGCAATGAGCTGCCCGTCTTGCAACGAGCTGATGTTCAGGAAATTCTGAGGTTCCAGAATGGAAGGAAAACTGCATCTTTCACCAGTGGATCACTGCTCATAATACAAATAGTCAACATTACATTGTTTCTGCAAAACCAGGCTGTCCTAGAATACAGGGTTCTTGATCTCACACGTGAAAAAAGGGAGGTTTAAGGAGTATTTAAATTGCATTAAATTGCATTAGGTAAATTGATTTGCCCATATGTCGAAAATTAAGCTAGAGGCATGATTAACACATAGTCATGCTGCTAAGAAATGCATATAGCTGCAGCTTTCTGATAATTTTCTGATGCTTTTAACATATTTCACTGGATTGACCATACAGAGGAGCAAATCAATTTCATTACCTTCTATTTGCCTGATACTTGTGGATGTTTTCAGGAAAATATTACAAAAGAATCAAATAATGCAACACACTATTTATTTGCATTTTGGTATTTTCTTAATGCACTTAAGTCATGACTGTTATTTTGGAAGCATTGGATTCTACACTTCTGTGCACACGTGATAAGGAAAAAACCACGTTACCAGTAATAGAGGAGGAAGAGGAAGTTGGGCAGCGTTATGGCCAGCTGGATCCCTTGCCAGTTGGGGATAAAATAGGCAATTCCAGGGAGAATTATGATTCCGAGGGTGAAGAACATTTGAATCACTATCCCCACAGTCCTCCTTTGCTTCGAACCTACAATTTCTGTCACTGAAGGAAAACAAACACAGAGGTTAGGGACGCTCGAGGTCAACCGGAAATAAGCCGACATCACACCTGGGCCAGCCACCAGTTTCCCTGGGCGACACAGGCCTTGCGGAGAGGCCAAAGCTGCCCTACCCACCAAAGGGGAGATGTGTCCCCCGGGTGTGCACGACCCTTCCACTGCCCTCCTCCACACTGAGCCTCTCCCTCTCCCGGGGACAGTGAGGCGCACAGAGAACCCATGTGCGGTTTGAGGAACGCTTACATGGGGACAGTTTTGAAAGGCAACAGTAACGCCCCAAATGTAAGTGTGTGCGCTGGCCGGGCTTGCCGCTGCCCCCACAGATGTGCATCACTCAGTCTCTTTGGAGATTCATTATGGAAACGCAGATTCTATGAAATGTTTCATCATCTCACGGGGTCTCTATCCATTAGCAACCCTTTCCACTGCTGGGCTATGCATTGATGTGCCATTTTGAAAAAACAAATCGCAGGGGCACTCCCCCGCTGCCTGTCTTCTCTGGCCCTCCCCACTCAATCATTCTGTGGGCCACTGGTGGCCTGGAGGTGTTACCTGAGTGTCACAACTCAGAACTCGGAGCCTCACCTAGACTTAGGGCCCTGAAGGATGCTTTAGAGGCCACAGGTCTCTCTTGTGCACCTGCCCCGGAGCCCCACCCCCACCCCCCAGCGCTCACAGCACCTTCCTGCGAGTGTCTCCTGCCTGGAGAACAGCCAGCAAACCACGGGCCAGCGGGAGCCCAAAGTCCTGGAGCTATGACCAAAGAGCTCTGCTCCCCGGCCAGGAGTCCGCCTGCCTTCACCTGGGTGACCATGAAGGGAAAAAGAGGCGAGATGCCCCCAAGTTCTACCAGCAAAAAGCAAAGGGATGTGTTTCCTTTCATACCTGGAAAGTCAAGCCTCCTTGTTAGGAAAGATAACAAATGTTACTTTCTCATTTTTTTTAGGTCATCTCTCTCATGTGGCAAAAAGTTCTCCTCGTGTGGAGAAGGGAATTAGAGAAATAATATTTGAGGACACAGGAAAGTAGTCTCAAATGGCATCACAGAGATAAAGATACTTCTAAGTTGTTTCAAGGCTACTAAAAATGGATCCCTTGTTCACAAAAACGTACGTGTGGGCAAGCAAGGAGCCCAGTGAGGTGCATCCCGATCTGGGCTCCGGGTCTCCCTAGAAGTGGCATCTTCCGGATTTGGCTCCCAAAGCAAGGCAGCATTTCAGTTTCTAGAGGGTAGACTCTTGGCCCCACAGCCCCTTCATGCAGAAGGCATCAGGGCTGCAGAGCGAAGCCTCCCCACACGTGAGGCAACGGCTTCGCCGGGCCCGGGCGAGGTCTTACCTATCACGTAGCAGGTGATCCACGTGCCCTTGGCGAACAGGCCCTGCAGGAAGCGGAAGACCACAAACACCGGGAAGTTGGGCGCAAAGGCGACCGCCACGCCGGTGGCACCGACGCCGAGACAGGAGAGCAGGTAGACGACTATTCTGCCGAACCTGCGGGGAGGGAAGATGAGCGCCTGGGATGACCAGGTGTTCCTGCTGGTGCTGCTGCAAGGCTCAGCTCCGCCAGCCCGTCCCCTCTCACCTCCCTGGCGCCCGTATGTAGAGGTTGCGGAAAAGTCAACTTGTGTTCTGTGGCCAAACCAGGGCAAAGAAAAACACGCTATTACGACATTGCAAGCATGGAGTGCCCTTCTGGGGCTGCAGTTTCCAGAAAGATCGGCCTCTGGAAGCCGGCTTTTCGCATCTGATGGCCTCATCTCCCCTGGGATGGGCTTTGACACTTTCTAGCATTTTTGTGGGTGGAACCCTAAGGGCACAGGGACGGAAGCCTCAGCAGAGTTCCTGACAGCCAAAGCCTGGGCTCGGCCATGCTCGGGCGGGCGCTCGCCAGAGCGGCCAGTCTTGGGCTGTGCGTGTTTGCCCGTGGGCCTTGCTCACCTCTTCTACTGTAAGGCTGCAGAGAACCAACAGTGAGGCAGAAGTGCACGCTTAGACCAGGCTCAAGTTCAAGGCCAGTGTCAGTCCTGCTGAAATGCTGACTCTTGTCCCCCCTTTCCATTGCACATACGTGATTAGCAGCTGAGGAAAGGGACAGGCTGCTGTATTCGAGATGCTGACCCGATGCTAAGTGACTCAGTGTGGTCCTGTCAAGTCATCGGTGGTAGGATTTGTCATCAGTGACTGTTAGGAGATTTGATTTGATGACACTTTTCAGAGGACATTTTACAAAATCCACCCTGCTAGCATCTCTCATTGGGCTGAGGGCAGAAGCAGCTGGTTTATCAAGACTTCCAAATTCTCTGGCTGCCAGAGGCCTCTAGATTGTTTCCTGACCTTCCCCCAAGACTACACGGGGAACCCCAAAGGCATTGCCCTGAGCTGAGGGAAACTCGTTCAGTACTGCTTCCTCAGAAGCTCAATCACCCCCGAGGACCATGCTGAGGCTCCTCGCGGGTCATGGGGAGAAAGCCCCTCCCTGAGTGGGGGCCCTCCGGTGGGAGACATGTCTACTGACTGTAGATGAGAAACGGGTGGAGGAAGCAAGACCTGACGTTGACGTGGGAAACAGTAACAGCCACGCGTGGGAAACACCTGTCGCTGCCAGGTAGGAGCTGGCGAGGAGAGCAAGTCCAGAGCGCGGGAGACCCAGAAGGGAGGTGGGGGCTGCTGGCAAAGCCCAGCAAGTAGAAACAGGGGGGCGGGACCCCAGCAAAGGAGAGGATGGGGGCAGCGTCAGACACAGGGGACAGAGGGCATCAGCCTCGCAGAGGAGGGCGCGGGGCAGCAGGGACAGAACAGATGGAGGAAGGGGGAAGCGCCACTGTGCCCAGTGCGCTGGGGTGTCCTGTGCTGGCCCGGGCCACGTCAACGCCTGCAGGGCCGAGACACCTGACAGCCCTGACTTAGCCGCTGGGTGCTGTCTGGGGTGCGCAGGGCGCCCACGGTGCGGGCCACTGCAGGCGGGGGACAAGGCCTCACTGGGCTGGTGACAGTGGCCCAGGGCCATGGAGGACACTATCAAGTGAGAGCAGTATCTTCACAGTCAGATTCGAGGTAGAGGAGCAGCAGGGCGAATCCAGTAACCAGCTCCCGGGATGCCAGAGACAGGCGCGGCAGCCAGGGTGGCCGGGGGCGTCCGCGGGCCAGCACGGGTGTCTGCCACCCGCGGGCACACTTGGCGATGCACCGTGATGCGGCCTGGTTTGTGGAATTGCCTTTCCACAGTTTTAAACTTGTAAAAGAAACTACAAGGGTTTCTCTTCTAAAATTTAAATTAAATAGGCAGACTTGAGGACCAAACTCAACAAGTCACACCCTGTGACTTATGGGCTTCAGGCTCCACAGCGTCCAGCACAACAACCCACCATGCACCCCCCTCAGCAGCCCCCCTCTGCGGTCCCGCACAGCCCAAGAAGGAAGGCAGGAGCCCGGCCGAGCAAGCAAGACTGGCGCGAGGAGGAATTAGAGCTGGTCCCACGGGCAGCAGGACTTCCCCATAGCGAACAGGAATCGCTCTCTCCCGTGTGCACGCAGCAGGGTGTGGCAGGTGGCCCCGGGCTCCTACCTGTCTGCCGCGTAGCCTAAGGTGAACGCTCCAGCCAGGAAGCCCAGGTTGAGGATGGCTTGGGAGAGGTCCAGCAGCCAAGCATTGCCACACACGAGGCCAAACTGGGGAACAAGAGGAAAGGCATGGAGACAGCCGCGCCCGCTCTCACCCACGCCCGGCCCTGAAACGTCCCCTGGGGCCTCCACGAAGCTGAGATAGGCAGCACCCGCAGCTTTCCACCCTCAATCCTGTTTGCATGGTTGGTTTCATTGTCTCTGGGGTTGGACTGTCCAGTTTACTATAAATAGTGACATCCTAAGGTCCACTTGTGCCACCATTCTGCCCACTGTTAAGAGTCTAAAGAGAAGTGGCAAGAAGGCAAGATGGAGGCAGAATAAAGATGCCAAGACGACTACGTCCAAGCTCACATGGGAATATATAAAAACGGACTACGGGGCCCTCCCTGGGGGCGCAGCAGGTTAAAGCACAGCACTAAGAAGCTAAAGCCACTTCCGCATGAGTTC